TGTAACATTTTCGAGCAAGACAACCGAAAAAAAAATTCAGTGAAATTCCATGGGAGTAAACACTCTAAATACCAGGCAGGGCCATATGAAAAGCTAACTCCGCATAAAGAAACCTGTATATCTTTATGGTTTGCTGGATATCAAACAGCCATCTTCAAGGGAGTAGGCGATATTTCAATGTTTCCGTGAGAATCCTGTATGCATATATTACCTGGAATCATTGATGGAATCCATATAAAGGTTGAAAAGCCGAAGGATGATCCATAATAATATATTAATAAAAAAAGGTGCTACTATATTCAGGTTGGAGTAATGATGGGTATGTACCTATGCACCAAGTAGAGTTACTAATTTATGAATGTATACAATTTACCTAGAATTAGCTCTAAATAACTGTTGTATTTAGCTTCGATCGTATGTATCCGTTCCTTCAATATTACAATTTTTATACTTCTCAAAGATACGAGTATACTTCCATGATATTATTATTTGTGATTATAATTATTTTCTTACACTGGAGCAGAAGTATGGTGCCTATTACATACTCGCATACCCCTTGTTAACCAAGCTCTTAATTCCAAGATCGTGGCCGGTTATCATCCAGGCAACTACACTAGCCGAAAACATTCTTGAAAACGCACTATAGTAGAGGACTGCAATGGCCGTTTGAAGTAACAAATGTAGCCACTCTACTACGTTAAGAAGCATCAGACACAGTGCATTCCATCAGAGCTAAGTGATGTGGCAGAGAATAGTAATGGCGCGCAAAAGAGGAACTGTAGTGTTGCGCTGTTAATTATACGTATCTTCGGCTATTAGTTGTATCCACTTTAAGTTTTTTGTAGCATTATAAGGTCTAATATAAAATTCTCTGTGTTGATGCAATCTCAAATTAGTTTAAGCTATCAAAGTGATTCGTGTATACTTGCCTTGTAATGAAAAATCTGAACATCTAGAGGACAGAACTTTCAAGAACCGTAACTAATATTATTCTTTGTAAACGCTAATTTTTCCAAACATTTGGTTACAGTTACAAAATGCGGAATTACACGATTACTTTGTTCCTACCTGTGTTGCTAGTTGTCATGTTCATCAACATTTCCATCTTAGACATTTATATTTATATTTATCCGTATTTATGCTTGTAGTATGTCTCAATGGTAAAAAGCGACTTGACTATGATTTTCCTTGGATGAGTTTTTTAATTTTCGTAGGCTCATGTTTTTTTTTGTTCATGTAGGGAACTCTGTGAAACTTATAGCTACATTTGTTATTCAAAGACTAAATATGTATGTACTTGTAATATTTCACTTCTTGCTTCTAGTGAGAGTTCATTGTTACATAGGCAGACCCGGCTGTAGTTTAAGAAAATATGTTTGTATTTAGTACGCTATACAAAAATGCTCAAGTTTGTCGTCCCTCCTGAAAACAGCTGTATCAATGTTCATTTTGTTTTTTTTTCCGTTCAGCTTTGGATTGGACTAGAACTAGAATATACATACTCTTTGTACATACACATCAAGGCTGCCAGGCGACAGGGAAGTAAAACCCTACTATCCTAGTTTTATAAAAACGCATTTACAATACCTTAGGCATTTTTTATGCATAATCATCCCAGACGTTTATTCAGAATTCTTGCTTCTTGCTTCTTCAACTTGTCATCCGATGTGAGGAATCATATTCGTTCGAATTTATGTACATACTTTTTAAATGACAACTTAATGGGAATTACTGAGTAAATCTGCTAGACATTTTTTGGTGCAGTTATTTTGTCTAGAAAGTGTTCGTTGTTCTCTCCTCTAGAGGAAAATTAGGGCAGTTCCGGGCAGTTGGACGATAAATCCCAGATTATTCTGGTTTACAGAAAGTGAAAATATCCGAAATTTTCCAAAATTGTCTACCTCATGCTGAAAAATATTACATTTGAATAATGATTGTACTTGATTTCGAGTTCTGACAATTTACTGGATACAAATCTGCTGACTAATTTGACAGTCATCAAACAGTCAGAAGCTTCTGTACGAACAGTAGATCACTTGTCGGTAATTGGTATACTATTCGTCATTTATTTGTCTGGGCGGTCCGTAGGACCTTTGCCCATTAGTCACTGTCTGATGTACGTTAGTCGAATCTGTCAGTCCTGGTTGCCCAGAAACCAGACAAAGTCAAGGAAAAAGAGAAAGGGAAAGAGAAGAAAAAAGGAGAAGAGCAAAGAAAAACAGATATGCTTAGTTTAAGAGGAAACACCCAGGCTTTTTGACTTGGTACACGGATTAATTTTGAGGTGAACTAAACAAATTTTTGATTCGGTTTTGTTAGAGTGTAATTTTGAGTTTACTAAAGATTCACGCTGACTTTTGATAACAGTACGAGCCGTGGCCTTGAATGTTTACGAACTTGCTCCACTGTGTAGTCCACTGAGTCACGCAACAGAGGGTTGCTGTGCGATTCCGCTTGACTATAACGTCGCTGCGCCTGAAGCTTGACATAGTCCCTCAAGTAAGGAATGTCAAGCTCTCTGTGTAGTGTCCATTTGAGACATACCATGGAGCGTTGCAAATTGTCCGCAAAGTTCTGCTTTGCAGTACTTGAAGACTTTGCATGTGTGTCTTGGCAAGAAAACACCAAGCAGCACATGCATAAGTAATGGCTGGTCTAATAATCATTTTATATAGTCGAACTTTGTTTATCAAACTCAATTTGGAGGATCTACATAACAAAGGATATAGTTGCCGAAACGCAATTTGGAATTTTGTTTTTATGGATGCTGTATGTTTCTGCCAGGTCATGCCTTTATCAAGGGTGACACCGAGATACTTGGCAGAATTTGTCCTTGGTACACGATTTCCGTCTACAGAAACCTCTGTTGGGGGGCCGCGACGTTTTTTGGTACAATAAATAGCCTGCGTTTTCGAATGATTAATTTTTATCAGCCACCGTTCCGCCCACTCTAGAACCAGATCACCAGTACACGACTGGGCGACCAGTGCAGTGTCGTCAGCATAGAGGTAGACTTCACAGTTGCTGGGGGACGGGACATCATGGATGAAAAGCGAATAAAGAATTGGTCCTAGGACCGAACCTTGAGGACCACCGGCCCATACTGGCCGTATTGTTGAAAAAACATTGTTAATTTTGATCCACACCTTGTCAAAGGCTTTTGAGACATCCAAAAGCAAGATGCCAGTACTCATGCCAAGGGTGAACCCTCTGGTTACATGCTCCACCAGCCTGACTGCCTGTAGCTCGGTGCTATGCTCGGACCGAAAACCGAATCGGACGTCAGGAATCACATGGTGATTTGACGAAAAAATATCCTAAAATATCTCCTGACGGATCGTACGATGTGCTGTTCCTCGTCGAGGTCATTATCGAGATCATAGTTGGGAGAGAACTGTATTTCCATGGCATCAGCGAAAACCTCGACCTTATCCTCCGTTCTGAAGACTATGCCTTCAGGACCGTGGATGTGTGGGAGTTGTTCTCGCTTTCCGTTTCTGAGTGACTTTGCGACCCTCCAGAGAGGAATACTTGAATCAAGCATTCCCGCCAGAAAGTCGCTCCATTGCTCGTTGCGGAGTTGGTGCAGTGCGTTTCTCACTTCATGGACAAGATTTGTAGCCCTACGAATGTCATCAGGATGACAAGACCTTTTTACCTGCTTAATAGCGGCTCTTTTGTCAGAGATTTTCTGACGAATACCCGCAGGCAAAAAAGGTCTGCCGTGTCGTTGTACAGGAAATACAGCTGCGCGCTGTAGAGCTGCTTGAATGAAACTTGTCCACTCCGCTTGAGCGGCATCTATTCCAGACTCATCATCTATAATCGGGATATCGGGAAACTCTCTAAGGAGCAACTTGTATAGGTCCCAATCAATGCGTTTCCTTGGAGGAGTTGGCTCCTCAGAATTTTGCTCATTGCCCACATCCATGACAACAGGTAGATGGTCACTAGAGACATCATACAAAATTCGAGAAGAGATACTGTATCTACAGTTTTTAGATATTGCGAAATCGATGACATCTGGTGCCTGAAGATGGTTGAATGGATGATGTGTCGGCTCTTCAGTGCTATGTATAAGGTACCCATTTCGCATCACATGGTTGTACAATCGAACCCCACTAGTGGAATTCAACCTAGAATGCCATGCTCGATGTTTGCAGTTGAAGTCCCCTGCCACAATAAGTGGAGTAGTCCAAAAGGACCTCCAGATCCACCTCTTGTAGCCTGGCACCACACCTGACATACACTGATGTGATCTTTAACGAGACACCTCCCGCCATATTGACCACCACAGAAGCTGCTTCGATGCTATGCATCCCCGCATTACTGCTTCTATAATAGTCTATACCGCGTTTAATCAACACTGCTAAACCGCCGCCTCGACCATTCAATCTGTCACCTCGGATAACATCATAATTCGGGAGAGCTAAACGATCTCCCGGATTAAGCAACGTTTCCTGCAGCAAGGCCACATCTATACCTTCATCCAAAAGAGCTTGATGAAATTCCCATTTTTTGGGAATATCCCTCATGCCCAAACAATTCCAAAAAAGAATTTTGATGAATGCAGGCTTTCTACTATTGTACCTAGACATTTACAGGAAATATCGCCTGCAACGCTTGGGTAGCGCTAATCAGTGGGCTTATTATTTGTTGTAAGGACCTTAGCGCGGTTGCCAGGTCCATATTTTGCGTGCTCAAGGGAGGTTGGGCAGAGGGGGCAGGCAAGGTTGCCTCCCGAGCTGCGTCCGCCTTTGCGCTATAACTTGCAAGTTCCTCCTTGGAGTGAACTTGCAGGTCCGGCTATTTGCGGGATGTCCCTCTCCACAGTTCGCGCACTTGCATTCTTCCTCTTCTGTGAGGGGGCACAAATGGGTCATGTGGTCCTTTGCACATTTTAAGCATTTGGGCGGTGCAGTGCAATATGACTGCGCATGCCCATACTTTTGGCAGCGGTGACACTGCCCAATGAGTCTGGAGTTCTTCTGAACCTCAACTCAAATGGCCAGTCCCAGCAGTTCGTGATCGTTGAACACTTGCTGAGACTTTCCAGTCTTGGGCAGTATCACGACCACCAAAGGCATGGGCGCGCCGCCGCTGCGCTTCAATCGAATGATGTGAAGAGGGCTATATCCCCTCTGATCCAGTTCTCCCTTAATCTCAGTATCCGAAAAGTTGACGGGAACTCCTCGAACCACCGCATGGATGTTCCGTTCCGAAGGGAGAGGAAAAGTGTGATGGGGCACTTCTTCCTCTCGGAATAGGCGAAGGATCTTACGGTAGTCGTCCTCGGATTTAGGAATAATCCTTATTCCCGCATCGACGGCAACCGCGCGATCTATTTTAATACCTAGGGAAATAAACTTGAAATTTAAAGTACGTCATCTCGTCCCGTCGCGTAAGACGATCGGGGTTATGCGCCCTTGTCGTGAGGGTTGTGTTGATGCCACGACGGTTGGACGAGATGACGGAGGAGAAGTAACATCGGCTGACGGAGTCACCTGACAGGTAGATAACGTGGTCCCTGGCTTGGTAATAGAAGCATTAATAGTGTTTCGATTTGATGAATTGGGGGAGGTGTGAAATGGAATTGATCCTGTATTCGGAAGAGGAGGAAAGTCTTGGGTTGATCGATCAGCCTTGTCGTCTTTTCTCCTTCTTGATTTTGCTTTTACAAATCCTTCAGTCTGTACGTCTTCGTCTGTGGATGTGAGGTGATCATCAGTAACGGTTCTCAGTGGTCTTCTTAGAGTCTTTGTCCGTTCTTTAGGGGATTCTTTTGAGTTTAGTAATATGGTTACCTGGGCGGTAAGGCTGTCAATTTTGGCTGTCTGGTACTTGATGGTCTCCATTAGGTCTCGAATCTGCCTCGCCTGGTCGTCTATAATCAGCTTCAGTTTTTCGATCGTTTTCTGCTCCGATTACATCTGCGTCAGTGACCTCATGTTTTCTGCTTCTGCTTTGTTTCCGCCACCGCTCAGCTCTTTCCTCATAGTATGTGGAACTGGGTCGTCTGTTGATCCTCCTGGGTCAACTTCCATCTTTTAAAAACTTTTTCTCGCCAACAAATCTCAGAAAACTTATAGCTCGCAAATGTGACAATGTTTTCAAAACCCTTTTTACAGGGCGTTCCGTCTGTAATTGGTTCAAGCTGCTTCAGCCAACTCGTAACGTTCTCATGTACGCAATCTATACAGTCAGTGACAGCTAACTAAATAAAGTAGGTCACGACTTGTCGCTGACTATCAGCCAGCAGGCGTGTGGAAGCGGATTAATGCTTAAACTATATTAAGATCAGACGTACTCTATTGGATATTCCAGATTAGCGTTAGTTAACCCGTATCACGCCGAAAGGATCACATACGTTAGCTAAATGCCTAATTCAGTTTGTGACATGAGCCCTTACAGATCCGACAATAAGAGTTTCCTAAGATACTCAAGAATTTGGTTTTGTCTAAGAGAGACATTTATCTTCAGACAAAATTATGCCTACTATATAGAAAAATAAGACATAAATATGGTGATTTGAATCCATTAAAGTACAGCAGTTTTTCAAAAAATGGTGGTCAAAGATACGAGTAGTCAAGAACGGTTTTTGCTCTAATTTCGGAAAGTGAAAAATAAAAACAATTGACTGTTTTTGGTATTTGTTGTTGTCGACTTAGCATGATGGAAAAACATAAGCTTGTTCAAAAACAGTACAAGAATATCCTGCACGGACCCTGTTGGAATACATTTCAGAAATAATCAGGATTATACAAGCTGTTCGACTGATGACCTGGATAATGATATATGCCTACGATTTTATTACATGTTTGAATATACGTACATACTTGTGAGTTTTGCTGGGTAGTTGTTTTGATGATATTATAATATCAGATAATTATAAATTTTGCCTAAAAAATGAAAGCGTGTCAGCTAGTACCTCAGCCTATTTTATAGAGTAACGATTTTTTTTTCTAAGACGATATCATATAATTTTCAGCTGCCCATTCCTTGGTTTGTTCCTGTTAAGTAGTTGTACCAAGTTCTCATAAATACATTCGTTGTATTTTCACATTTACAAATACCAATATCTCTAAGTTGTTTTTAGATACCTCGTCGAGTGTGTTTATGTCACGAAACTAGGGGAATCAGTTTACCTACGCAACTTTGTTACTATATCTATTAAAGTGATTCAGATAACCCGTGACATACATTCATGTACTCCCTATACCTGTCATAGAATTGCAATGTTGGAGGATCTGCTAGTCCGGTGACGATAAAGGCGTAAATAAATAATATCAAGCACCTATTAAATATCATGTACTGACTTCCAACTTGGAAGACCTGTACCTCTGAAACTACTGGTGATCAAATTTTGATCTCATTGACACTTTTGTTCTGTGTTGAGTTCTGCAATATACCTAATTTGAAAAAGGTAGCCAAAGCCACAAGGTTTCTGCGGGGTCTTTTAAAATAATATAAGTACCTACGTATTACAAGCTTTTATTTATTATCTCCGTGCTTCCAAATTCTGAAACTGCTGCACAAAATACTCTGACTGAACACACCAAACCAGTCGAACCGGCAACATTATCAATGCATGTTTCATGAGTCACTCCAGCATGGCATGGTGCATCCTGAACGCTGCTGTCCGCTCCATTGCACTAATTGAATTTGACGATTCACTGGCCCGTGTTTGCTGCCTGTTTTGATAATTTTTTGTTCAGATGCTGTGATACGGTATGAGGAACCGATTTTCGGTTATAATAGTGTCAGGTATCGTGTTATACAACGCCAGCAGGCTAATTAGACCACCAGGTGCTTTTTAGTTATACGTGGGTTCGAATTTCAGTTTCCTGATAACTGCCCCAGCTCAGATATCAGATTTATTGAACAGCCCTAGTCATAGCAATCTCTCTTTGTGAATCTCACTTACTTTATGTTTGTAAGCTAGACTTCTATTTATTTCAGATAAGTCGTTTCACTTAGGCCACGGTGAATGGGGATAGATGTGTGTGTATAGGTAGTTTGATAAACTCCTTTAAATTTTCTGTAATTCCAAGTACTTTTCGTAACTTTTCCCTATTCAATTTTAGTGCCTTTTGCATCAAAATCTACTAATTTGCCATTCGTAAAAATTGAATTGAAAATCAATAGAAAAATATTTTACGATTCACATACTGTCCGAAACATTTACGGTTAAGGTCCGCCGGGTTCCAATGTGTACGAGACAGAGAAGCATGCAACACGTATGTTGAAAGGAGTTAGAAAGAGTATATGAACAAGCAATCATCAAGTTGCCGTCGACTGCCAGCAGCAGCCAGGAGGGTCACAGAGCACCCTTTCTTGCTCTTTCTAACATAAGTGCCGCACGTTTCTCTCGCTTGTCTCTGTCTCTCTCTTTCTCTCTTGTACATATTGAAAACCAGCTGACCTCATACGTGAATAATTCGCACTGTATATGTTATACTTTTGACTGCGTGTAACGATAAGAAACATGAAAAACCATAAGAAACAGATTCGGAAGATTTTTTTTTTACTACCTTTCAGTACCTCCGATTACGGTGAAGTTACACGAAACATTCTTTCGGCGTTTCCTCTATTAGACATTTGTATTTACTTTGGGGGGGGGGGGGGATGGGTTAAAGAAAGAGGAACGTTGAGAGTTTTAACAGGATTATGGGTGGGAATTTTTGGGTGAATTTGGGTATCCTCATAGTTTGAGTTTGATTCTTGTCTCTATAGGTTATTGGTAGCTCAACATTATTTATTATCTACTCCGTGAATCCCTCCTACTCCAAGGAGAGGGAGGGGGATTGACACGTGCTAAAATCGCGTACCTTTTTTTTGCTGTTTTGATCACCTAGATACCAGTGCTTTGAGTTTCTCTTTATTAACGGTAGAGTGCCGATTCCTAGGACAAACCTTTTTAATGATTTTTTTTTAGCAAATTTCATTGTTTATTGTATAATTTCACACGTATTATATCTTTCTTTCTCAGCGATACAGTGTTGTGTTGAAATATTTTGCACACTAATGTTATAGTATTATTATTTCCTCATAAAATATCGTTGGTCCCCCGTAGAGTTGGTTCCGCCCATTGGTAACCAGCGCCACCTTGTGGTCTCCGTACGTAATAGCCGTATAGTAATATTTGGTTTCCTATCAAGACAGCACCTTTTAAAATATTTCGTGTACAGACGGGTTGAGCGCCGTTTTTCTTTTCTTTCTGCTGAAGTATGATGTTGGGCGTCGTTTCGTTAACTTACAGATTCTGGAATATTGGACTCCCAAACACCAGTTTATGGAGTAGTATCCTATTATTTTGTACCTTACGTTTAGTTGTGTTGGTTTGGGTGCTACCTTGTCCATTTTCTTATGGGATTTTAACCATCAGCGGTAAGTTCTTTTTTGTATACCATCGGACCACGAGCATCAATGCATGTGCTGAAGAAGTTTGTTCCATATCTGCTTTTAGTGGGAAGGCATTGCGGAGAACCACCATTCACACTTCTCCAGCTTTGTTTTGTAGCTGCTTTGTAGCTATTTCGCAGTCTATTTTGCTGGAAGCCACCCCTTCCCCTTGACAAAAAACCCTAATGTGAACAGGTAAAATATCATTTTAATTGAGTATTTTATAGATACTAATATATTGATTGTTGCTGACTAAAATTATTAGAGATTAGAGTGTTGATTTTGATTGACTTTTCACGTATTCAAATATGGGGCAGTGCCTAGATGTCACCTTCTATTGGGCATGGCATTAGATTGATCATGATTTTGATATTTGAGCTGCCATATCTTTATTTTAGAACAAGGGATAACTTTCTGAGGGTATATCACACATTTTTTAGTTTCTTGCCTTTGCTCTACTTCTCTTGTAAAAGAGAATGTACATGGTATTTATTTAAGTTTGAGTGCTTTCAATGAGTATTTTTGTGTCAGACAGAGGGTAGATTTTTAAACAGTCTTTGTCTCTCTACTGTTATTTATACCTTGTGACGTTCCTCACGTCTCTGCCGACTACCGGCTACTGGTTTTTGACCTGAGCGTTTGTGAACTAAGGACATTTCGGCTGCGCCTAGAGCCGTAAGTGGAAGAAGACCACTATCCAGATGAGTTTAGGAATAGGCGTTAAAATATTTATAAAGCCTTCATACATGTACCATAGTAAACGTTCTGCCGGGTTAATTATCTAATAATTTTAGTGTCAGGTAGTTTTAAATAATATCCTTTCTTGTAACTTGCACTCTAGTGGTGGAGCATATATGCTGCTTGTTTCGATAATATATTGTGATTTTTT